CTGAGAGGATTCTCTATGACCCAGACAATTATGATAGGAAGGCTAATTGTTTGGAAGACTGCAGATGTTGTAAGCAGTGCTTTTTTTGTAAAAAAAAAAAAAAAAAAGGTGCTGGAACTCACACATGTCATACAACCCACCTTGCCTATCCTACAAGGTTCCATCCAAAAAAGGTGCCGGAACTCCGTTCTGGGCTTCTATGACAAAAAAAGCCCTGGTTGTAAGTATAGGAAATATTAAATAATGGTCCATTGTTTTGTACTACTTGATACCAGGGAAGGATCAATGCTCCATTACCCATGTGTAGCATTAAATCATTATTACGTCCAGCTCAGCATTCTTCTTTAAAGACTTTCTTGAGGTTTCAGTCAAAAATCTTCATGGGGCTTGTCAAGACTAAAGTTGAGACTTACATGCAAAGTCTTTGTCTTTAATTTCTGCCATGGGAAGAAAGCAGCTTAATCAATTATCCATTCTGGGAAGCAAAACTCACATTCAAATCTGAGAGACCATTGTAGAAAACAAATTTCTATGTTGAATAGAAATCTATAATCAGGGTGGAGGCAGGTGACAAAAATGCTTAGTGACATCACAGCACTAACTCCTCCTCCCTTTATGTATATCTATGCAATGTTGCAACACAAGTACAAACTTAAGAAAATATTTGTGATATGATGACACATTGCAAGTTTATTTATTTATTTATGAGACTTATATACCGCTTTAAGTGCAAGCACTCTCTAAGCGGTGTACACCAGTAAGCAATGTATATATATATTTACATTGCCCCCAACAATCTGGGTCCTCATTTTACCTACCTCGGAAGGATGGAAGGCTGAGTCAACCTTGAGCCGGTGAGATTTGAACCACTGACCTGCTGAACACAGCTGTTAGATGCAGTTAGTTTCAGTTGTAAAACTTGAAACATATACAATTTACAGCTAATTTTCTTAAATTCCTACAGATTTATCTATCAGGTTTCCTGAGCTTGATCTGAATGCATATATTTGATTTGCAAATAGCTGTTGGCTCAAAATTTGATTTAAAATGAATAACCAACTATGACACCTATTTTTTAAAATTTCCCCATATGTGTGTGTGTGTGTGTGTTTGTGTGTGTGTGTGTGTGAAATTTCCCCACATATATTTATATCCTGTAAATATGGAAGTAAAATTGCTACTGTTGTTATACATTTTGATTATGTCTGGCCTTACGGCTGTAATAAACAGATTGATTGATTGATATGTGTGTGTGTGTGTATGTGTGTGTGTGTTAAATTTGGATTGCAAATAAAGATATAGGCAAAAGATTTCTTCTTCCCATATTTGGGCCAACCAGATGCAACATAAAAAACATGTATGTATGTATGTATGTATGTATGTATGTATGTATGTCTTGGCTGATGAGAGCTAATTAGCTCAAAATAGCTATCCTAGTCTTATATATAGGACTATATATATTGTTTTTTTTACTACCCATGAATGCTCTGTATTGACTCCTAACTTTGATTGTACTCCATTTCATGGCTTAAAAATTCAAGAGTAGAATCATTTTAAATATTTACAACAAAAAGAAGAAAGTTTTGTGTCACCTTAAAGACAAAGACAGTTAAAAGTTAATAAAATGGTTAGTCATTTAAGTACCAAAGCATTCTCACTTCTTTATTTCCCTAAAATTCCTAGATGCAAAGCTGGATCAATAATTCTGAGAGCTTCAACTATTAGATGTTTACTCTTTTTTAAATAGTATTTTGCGACCAAGCTTGTGTTAGGGGACATTGAATATTTTGTTGTTAGATTTTACTTATATTCATAGATGCAGTTGAGTTGATTCTTTTATATTATTTTACACTGCCCAGAATCTTGGGACTGAATAATATAAACATTCATTTTCTAATAAATAATAAATACAAATTGATATTTGACATCTCAAACTGAACTGCACTAATAGACATATGTTAAATCTTATTTTCCACAATGGGTTGATATAAACCAGAAGGAGGAATAAAACTACCAGTGAAGATCCCTTTTTTTCCTGGGGATTGCCCAGTTAATAATCATTATGTTACTTATATGTCAGATTGAACCTTCTGATTCCTACCAGTTGGTTCATCTTGGATGCTATTAGTCTCCTACCTTGGATTTCTCCCTGCAGCCCAGCCTTATGAAGATCAAAAAGAAAATTATTTGGGTTATCCTGCATAAAGCCTTGAAATACAAAATGTAATAAAAATTGTGCAATCAGGGAACACAGGAATTACTTGCATAATCAATGCATATAGAAGGTTTTAATAAGAAATTCCATTTCAGAATATTCAAGTTTAAGTTCTACATAGAAAAAAGAGTTCACTGGGAAAAGGAAAATAGAAGAAAAAACAACAGAAGAAAACATTACCCTAAACCTAGCCCTAACCTTAACCCTAACCCTAACACATTGGTCTACGTTACTTAAGAGTAATATAGACTATATACAGCTAAAACTCTCATTTGTTTATAACCAATTGAGTGAATCTGTGCATCATAGAGCAACAATTTTTGAATCAACATACCTGAAATGGGCTAACTTATGGAATGCATCCCAAAAATGGGACTCACGACTCCTATGGCAAGATTTATTTATTAGATTTTTCTCCCAGCTTTATTACTTTATAAAATTTATAAACTTGTGGCTGCTTCTCTGCTGTTGTGCTGTCACAGTCAGCTGCAGTCATATAATCATCATTTCCAACACTCCTGCCAACTTTCCACAAAAAAAGTCAATGGGGAAGCCAGCAGGAAGTCGAAAGTTGCTCCAGCTCCTGCTGTTTTGTTTTGTTTTTTGTCTGCCTGTGCTCATTCGTTCATGTTTAGGTAAGGAAATATCTTTGAAACATTGACCAAATGGGTCACAGGTTGTCTAATTTTTAAATAAGATCAGTGCTATCAGCTTACCTAAATTTTTTTTCTTCACTCCTTGAATAAGCTCTTCGGTTTCACTAATATTCACTGGAGAGATGAATCCACTTTCTATTTGATTGCTTCTAAGCAGGTCCTCAGTTTTTCTCCTTATTCCTTCTTTTTCCATATTCTCCTTAGTTTGATAGAATATGAGGGATGAGCTCAAAACCAACAACAATGTGCCATGTGTGAGGTCCTTGATCTATGCACCAAATCAAAAAATCTGTAAGCTCATCTGCCTAATGACCATAACAATGCATCCTAGTTTATACAAATGGACCTGCATGGAATAGGCTTTGTGAAGAAACACAAAAATAAATTCCATTAGACTCTCAGAAGTTTATCAGATGAATCAATTTGCAGTAAAAAAAATCAGAAATGAAAGGTATAATAAGCAATACATTAAAATTATATAGAAATGGCCATGAGAATTAAACATATTAATGAAAAAGATGGCAGAGGTAAAACATTCTTCCCACCCAGGGACTGGTTGACATAAATTAGTCTTTAGGTCAGGGGTCTGCAACCTGTGGTCTGTGGCCTGGTACTGGGCTGTGGCCTCTTGGCCATTGGGCCCCATTTGCACATGTGCAGGAGCACTAGCACCACTGCCAGCGTCACATGAGCACTAGAAGCCTGTTTGCACCTACGTGTAGATGCTAGCAGCCTGTTTGCACACACTAGCAGCCACTTGTGCATGCATGCAGGTGCCAGGGCCTCCACCAGCACTGCCATGGGTGTGCACGGCCCACTTGCAAATGTGCATGGATGCTAGCTCTGCTGCCATGTACACACACATTTGCACATGTGCGCGCATTTTCACACGCATTTCCCTGCTCCTTCCTTTCCCTCCCTGCCACCAACCCAGAAAGGTTGAGAAGCTCTGCTTTAGGTGATAGTGAGGTACCATACCAAAACTGAAATTCTGAAGTTTGCAATAACATTTGAATTGAATTGTAATGGTTATTTGCAGATTGATAAAGAGATGTTATAGAACAAGGGTCTTCAAACTTGGCCCTTTTATGACTTGTGGACTTCAGTTCCCAGAATTCCTCAGCCAGTCCACAAGTCACAAAAGGGCCAAGTTTGAAGACCCCTGTTATAGAATGAGCTAGCTGCTAGTTTCTACTTTATTATTGAAATACTTGTCATAAGAAGGTTATCAAAAAGAAAAATCAGAACATCTCTACCCTAATCTACATGAGGTTAAATTAATTCTAATTAGGAAATGGTTCAATTGCTAGAGTTCTTGTAACTCTATACCGTGTTTATCAATAAATCTTGCTAAAGAGAACTTTGTATAAATTGTGTTTGGAAGAATCACTTCTGATTTGAGGCAAATGCTAAAGATCCTGACAGAATTGAATGTGAAGATTAAGAGCCAGAGTACAGGTATTTGGTAGAAAGGATAATTAAGAGATTAGGCACCATTACTATTGGTTTGATTCTCATGAATTCTCATGGACATTTTATGGGACAAAGTAAATAACTTTAAACTGAGTTGATAGTGGAGAGCTTACAAACTATCTTTCTCTGAGATTGGAATTATTAAGTGGAGATATCAGGTCTTAACTGATATCCTAATAGCATACCTAAGAATTCTTGCTTATGGGCAAAAGAATGGTACCATTCACTGCTATGGAGAAATGAATTCCTCAAGATACATTGCTACTTTGAAGAGCCCACACTGTTATTGACTACTGAAGAGGCAATGAATAATCCCTGTTAGCACACAGATCTGTCTGAGGAGTACTTCAGCTCATATTCTCCATCAATCATAATCTAAACAGTTGAGATAAAGATGTGACTCTTTAAAAAGATTATTTTGCCAGATTTTCCAGGAGGCTTTTGCACTGAACATCTATAAAATATTCAGAGCAGATTATGACATGTGAAATACAATCGCATCCCTAAAAAAACTTTCCAGAGTCTTCAAACAAAAACAAAAAGTCAGGAACAAATCACCATGGTGATAAGGGAGCAATATTTCTTTATGTCTAAGTGAGCTTACAGCTCTAATGGGCTTTCAGACTGGTTACATTTTCTTTCCTCTTCTCTTACAGCAGTGAGTGAAGGACCAGCCACACCACAAAGTTCCATGTTACCGCAAACACAGCCTGAACATCCAAGCAGTGAGGAACCTCCAAGCAGGACTATTCCTACTGCATGTGTCCGGCCTACACATCCCCTCCGCAGTTTTGCCAACCCCTTGCTACCTCCGCCACTGAGTGCAATAGAACCGAAAGTCCCTTATACACCACTTTTGTCTCAAGCAGGTATGGAAACTGTTGAAATGAATGCTGGCTAGGGAACAAAACCTTGATGCATAGCATGCAGATGTTATTTCTCTTTATCCCCATGATCTTTCTTAACCTAGTCTACGAATAGCATTGCAAATCCAATGCTGTGCTTGGAAACTCAGTGGAAATAGAGCTTAAGAGTCACTTGCTATCTCAGAACTAGCACCTCAGGAGACAGATGTAAAGTTGCTTCCAACCAGCTCTATGATGAATTGAAATGTAAACTGCACTGTTGTCAGTAGATTACAGTAAGGGATTAAAAAAAAGCCATGGTAGACAAAATTTGATCATTTTGTGGACAAAATGCTGACTCTGAAGCTTAGCTATAGAAAAACTCAAAGGAGCCCAGCATTCTCTTAACTTCTGAGAAAGCGACGACACAGATAAATGGTAAAACAAAGTAACTAAAAGGCTAAAGGATGGATCAGGATTTTGGTTTGAATCTTATCTCCATGTGAAGCTAAGCCCAAAAATGATGTGGAACAATTCAGCCATAGTTCAGTTCTTTATTTGTTTACAAACAACAGACAGAATCTTGCCAGACTAAACCTATGTTATTGTTACTTGGCAGTATTCTGGGAGATTCTAGGGAGTTCTTTTCTCACCTATCCAGCTCCAGGCTCTGTTGCCTCTTCCTTGTTTAGAATGTGCTCCCACTTTCCTAAGAAACTGTCTCATCACTGTAGTTTAGCACATTCTGCCACAAACTCATGGGCTGATGCTATTACGGTTGGTCAGCCTTATTTCCAATATGAAGCAAAAAGTATTGCTTTGTCACGAAGAAAAATCCGAGATTCAAATCTTCCTGTTGGGATTTTGCACTGGGAAATAATGGCAATACTCATCTAGAAGGAATATTTAAGTCTTGCTTCTAAGAAATTTTAGTTCCTAGATTATTCTTCTCACTCCAACTCAGTGCACACATTCATCATGATTTACCTGATTTTACAATTTTGGTACAATCCAAGCACACATAAAAAGAAGGCCAATCCTATTTTTTAAATAAAATTAAGATAAAATAGACTGGCCTTATATTTTAAGCATGTTTAAGTAATAACTTCTGTGATTCTATGGAAGTTCTTCTATGAAGAACTTCTTCTTTTTTTAATGAAAGTTTTTTATTTTTTCCATATAAACATTATAAAAAAAGCATACAATACAATTTTAAGATAAAATAAACATTATTACGACCTGCGCACTCCCCCCAGGCTGCGTCCACCCTCTCTTAAAACATTCCCTACTTCCCTCCTCTTTCTCACCTCCCATCCTACTCTCTTCCCCTCTCCTTCTCCTCTCACTACCCTACTTCCTCTCTACTCTTGCCCACCTCTCATCCCTCTCAAACCCATGAACGCAGCATAAGGGGAGTGCCCAGGCCGCACCCCTATAAGCAACCATTATCTATATTACACTTACCCCCCCACATTTCCTCCCTCCCACCCCCCAAACCCCCCTTCTTCAATCTATAAAATGTTTTTAAAACAAAAGGACACTACTGTGAATGGCATCTGTCTGATAGTTACCAATGTGCTAATAGCTACCTGTTATTCCCATAGTAACTGCTGGTATAAATAGTCATTTCTTTAAAAATCTAAATATCTTTGTATAGTATAGAGCCAGAAGTATCTCTAACCTCTTAGTATGTGAAACAAATATATAGTTGTTTTATATGTTGGAAGTTTTCCTTGCAATGTGTTCTTGATATAAACTTAATGTAAGTTTGAGTTAGGTTTGCAGATGAAATCTCTGAATGCCTAACTTTATCATTTGTTTTGGTAGATATTTCTGCTGAGACCTTGTTTTGCCAAGTGTCAGGGCAGTGGTCAGGTGCCCAGGCAACTGGGTTTTTTTGGGGGGGTTGGGGTTGCTGTCGTTTTTGGATCCAGAGACAATGAGCATTCTAGTGAATAAAGAGATTTTAAGCTTTATTAACTCAAGCAAACGGATTTAAAAGCATAACAACAGAACAGGAAAAGGAAATAGAACAGAGTAGGTAAATAATGCATACCAAGCAAGATGATACTCAAATCTCGTATAAGCTGTCAGGAGCACCTTAATAATAACACCAATGATACTAAGGGTGGTCAATTTACACAGTAACCAATGCTAGGTTCTCTGCAGAAGTGGTCCACAAACAAAATAACTCCAAGGTTTTTATCAAAACCTGGCACCAGGACTTCATGGATTTGCTTCTATCGGGATGGGACTACAAAACTTGACCTTGACAGGGTGGCACATGACTCTAGAATGGAAACTGAAGGTCTGAGGCGTTCACAGATTTACAGCTGTGTGAAAATCCCCCCTCCCTTCTTCTTTATTTAGTAAACAAGACCTTTTAAAAAAACAACAACAGGTTAACTCAGAAAGGGCTCTAAACATCTAAACTTTTCTTTTTTTTTTTTTATTAAAAAGTTTTATAAATTTTACAAAAAATAAAAGACAATACAAAAACAAAAAACAACATATACAAATAAAAACAAACATTACCCAACAAAACCCCCCTTCCCCCACCCCTACCCAAACCCCCCCTTCCCCCCCCCAGGGCCTCCCAGAGCAGAATATAGGCTTAATTAAAAAAAGTTAAAAAAATTTTATATTTATATAAAAAAAGAATATAAAATAGAAAATATATATATATATAAAGTTAAAAATTATGAAAAAACTATATAGTATTTTTTTATATCAAATTTAAATTGTATGAATTTTATCCATTTATCCCAAACAGCAAGGAATTTCTCTTGCGTTTGACCCTTTAAGAAAGCCGAAATCTTTGCCATTTCCGCCAAATGAGACACTTTAAGAAACCAATCCTGCAATGTAGGCAAAGATTCCTTCTTCCAATATTGTCCTACTAATAGCCTCGCAGCTGTAATCAAATTTAACATCAATATAACCTCCTTTGTATCACAATCAATAACTATACCTAACAAAAATAATTGTGGAGTAAATTTTACCCTCCTTTTAAAAATTCTCTGGATATTCCACCATATCTTAATCCAGAATGCTTTTATCTCTCTGCACGACCACCAAATATGATAATAAGTAGCGTCCATACAACCACATCTCCAACATTTAGGTTGTAAGTCAGGGTACATAAAAGACATTTTTTGTGGATCAAGGTGCCATCTATAAAACATTTTATAAAAGTTCTCCCTTAAGTTCTGTGCTTGTGTAAATTTGACATTTCTCACCCAAATAGTTTCCCAGGTGTCCAATGGAACTGGCTCACCAAAATTCTGCGCCCATCTAATCATACAATCTTTAATTAGTTCCGTTTCTGAATCCAATTCAACTAAAACCCCATAAATCCTCTTAATGTGGGTTTGTCTTTGATCCTTCACCTAAACTTTTCTTAATATGAAGGAGAAATCAACGTATGTCACAAAGCTCCTTGAAATAACAATGGTCTTCTGCCCTGTTTCTGCACACCATATTTGTCCCATTTGTCTTGTTCTTGTCAAAACTCCTTGTATAAATAAGTTTCCAATAACAAAATGTATACCGTGAGTGAGCCTTGTAAGATGAGACTGTTTCATGGCTGTAAAGGATGATGCAACACAGCATTTGACTGTAGTCTGCATACTGCAAGGTGGAGATGTTTAGAGGTATTAAGATTGTCTCCTGCTGCTGTGTATTCTAAAGATGATTAAATCCCTGACTGAAGATAGGAATTGCAGCAACCAATGAAAATGTTAAAAACCATGTTCTTGCTTCAAACATATACTAGCTATTACTAAACAATCCTCTTCTGACAGCAAGCAGAAGCCCTAAAATCCCTTACATCAAGAAGAACATCTTTTAACTAAACCCTGCTGGCACTAAAATTTAAAATTCAGTTATTTCTCTTAAGATGGATACATTCCGTTCAATAAATAGGGTGAGGAGATAAATATATGGGATACTGACACAAAGCACAAAGGAACAGAGGCTCCTGCAGGTGCATCAATTGTGATATAATATGTTCAGCAATCTACATTGACCTGATTTATTTCGGAATGCACACCAGCCCCATAGGAATTTTTTAAAACAAAGTGTGGTGGTTGGTTGTATCTCAGCCCTTAATTTGGACTTGGGCTCACATGACCAGACAAAAGACACTCTAAGGCAGGGGTGTCAAACTGCCGGCTTGTGAGCTGGATGCATCATAGCGAAACTGCGCCCACCCCGTTGCTGCCAATGAAAAAAAAAACAGCGATACGTCGCAACACATCATGTGACATTGCGAGTCTAACACCCCTGCTCTAAGGAGCACTCTGATAATCTAAAATGAGCAGGGAGAAATCTTACCAAATAGAAGAGAATATCTGTAACTCAGGTTTGAACTGTGGGGTCCTTGATACTCTCTGAGCTTGGTGGTTTACCAAGGTTTACCACCATGCTCAGAAAGTGCCACAGAAATCTTACCTGGAAAACTAGGTGTTTTTTGTCAGCCCCAGTAGCAAATATTTTGTGGGAGTACCCATGGCATGCCCTCAAAATTCTGCCCCCCCCCAAAGGTTATCCATCATGTTCTCTTCACATGTTTAAGCTCTAGGCATTGCTCATTCATAGATATCATGATTTTCATGATCATGATATCAGATTTCCATAAATCCACATGATGTTTAGCAGGTGCCCATGGTTTTCAATATATCAATAAAATTCCCTGAGTTAAGGAACAAGTTATTGTTGACTCAAAACTTCCGCTTTGCCAGAAAGCTTACTAGTGCTATGGCCTTCCCCTATCCAGGTTTGACCATTTTGCTTCCTCTTTTATATTTAACTAATGGTGTCATATCACAATTCTACATCAGTACATTGGTTAACCATTATTGGTAACCTTATGTATTACGCTAGGCTGAATTTCTACCACATCTCACTATTAAACATCTTTAAGATCCTCTCCCCACTCCTCCAAAATGAAATGCCTCTCATTCTAATGGCATCAGTTAAGATTGCTATCAATGTAGAAATAGGTTCTGAATATTATTGGTTAG